TCTATGTTGGCCGGTGTGGTTCCCAATCAGAGGCAGCTGTCGCTCGTTGTCTCTGATTGGGGACCATACTTAGGCAGCCTATTGGCACTAGTGGGTTGTGGGATCTTGTTCCGTGTTAGGTATGTTGTTTGTGTACCTTGGACTTCACGTTTCGTTTCTTGTTTTGTCGTTGTGTTTAATAGTCAAATAAACATGTATGCATATCACGCTGCGCCTTGGTCTGACCCGTTCATGAACGAACGTGACACTCAGTCCAGTTCAGTAGGCTTCACAATCATGGGGAAGACTGCTGACTTGATAGGTGTGCAGAAGACAGTCATCAACACCCTCCACAAGGAGGGAAAGCCTCAAAAGATCATTGCTAAAGAAGCTGGCTGTTCACAGAGTGCTGTATCCAAGCATATTCATGGAAAGTTGAGAGGAAGGAAGAAGTGTGGTAGGAAAAGGTGCACAAGCAACAGGGATAACCGGAGCCTTGAGAGGATTGTCAAGCAAAGGCCATTCAAAAATGTGGGGGAGCTTCACAAGGAGTGGACTGAGGCAGGAGTCAGTGCATCAAGAGCCACCACGCACAGACCAAGGAGTGGACTGAGGCAGGAGTCAGTGCATCAAGAGCCACCACGCACAGACCAAGGAGTGGACTGAGGCAGGAGTCAGTGCATCAAGAGCCCCCACGCACAGACCAAGGAGTGGACTGAGGCAGGAGGCAGTGCATCAAGAGCCACCACGCACAGACCAAGGAGTGGACTGAGGCAGGAGTCAGTGCATCAAGAGCCACCACGCACAGACCAAGGAGTGGACTGAGGCAGGAGTCAGTGCATCAAGAGCCACCACGCACAGACCAAGGAGTGGACTGAGGCAGGAGTCAGTGCATCAAGAGCCCCCACGCACAGACCTATCCAGGAAATGGGCTACAACCGTGGCATTCCTCGTGTCAAGCCACTCCTGAACCAGAGGCAACGTCAGAAGCGTCTTACCTGGGCTAAGGAGAAAAAGAACTGGTCTGTCACTCAGTGGTCCAAAGTCCTCTTTTCAGATGAAAGTACATTTTGCATTTCATTTTTTATGATTATGATTATTATTTTTTCCCCACCTTTATTTAACCAGGTTTAAGCCAGTTGAGAACAAGTTCTCATTTACAACTGCGACCTGGCCAAGATAAAGCAAAGCAGTGCGATAAAAACAACAACAACAACACAGAGTTACATATGGAATAAACAAAACATAAAGTCAAAAATACAACAGAAAATATATATACAGTGTGTGCGAATGTAGTAAATTATGGAGGTAAGGCAATAAATAGGCCATAGTGCAAAATAGTTACAATTTCGTATTAACACTGGAATGATAGATGTGCAAAAGATGATGTGCAAATAGAGATACTGGAGTGCAAAATAAATAACAATATGGGGATGAGGTAGTTGGATGGGCTAATTACAGATGGGCTGTGTACAGGTGCAGTGATCGGTAAGCTGCTCTGACAACTGACGCCTAAAGTTAGTGAGGGAGATAAGAGTCTCCAGCTTCAGAGATTTTTGCAGTTCGTTCCAGTCATTGGCAGCAGAAAACTGGAAGGAATGGCGGCCAAAGGAGGTGTTGGCTTTGGGGATGACCAGTGAGATATACCTGCTAGAGCACAGACTACGGGTGGGTGTTGCTATAGTGACCAGTGAGCTAAGATAAGACAGACATTTGCCTAGCAGTGATTAATAGATGACCTGGAGCCAGTGGGTTTGGTGATGAATATGTAGTGAGGGCCAGCCAACAAGAGCGTACAGGTCACAATGGTGGTTAGTATATGGGGCTTTGGTGACAAAACGGATGGCACTGTGATAGACTACATCCAATTTGCTGAGTAGAGTGTTGGAGGCTATTTTGTAAATGACATCGCCGAAGTCAAGGATCGGTAGGCTAGTCAGTTTTACGAGGGCATGTTTGGCAGCATGAGTGAAGGAGGCTTTGTTGCGAAATAGGAAGCCGATTCTAGATCTAACTTTTGATTGGAGATGCTTAATGTGAGTCTGGAAGGAGAGTTTACAGTCTAACCAGACACCTAGGTATTTGTAGTTGTCCACATACTCTAGGTCAGACCCGTCGAGAGTAGTGATTCTAGTCGGGTGGGCGGGTGCCAGCAGCATTCGATTGAAGAGCATGCATTTAGTTTTACTAGTGTTTAAGAGCAGTTGGAGGCTACGGAAGGAGTGTTGTATGGCGTTGAAGCTCGTTTGGAGGTTTGTTAACACAGTGTCCAATGAAGGTAACGAGATGTATACAAAATGGTGTCGTCTGCGTAGAGGTGGATCCGAGCGTCACCAGCAGCAAGAGCGACATCATTGATATACACAGAGAATAGAGTTGGCCCGAGAATTGAACCCTGTGGCACCTCCATAGAGACTGCCAGAGGTCCAGACAACAGGCACTCCGATTTGACACATTGAACTCTATCTGAGAAGTAGTTGGTGAACCAGGCGAGGCAGTCATTTGAGAAACCAAGGCTATTTAGTCTGCCAATAAGAATGCGGTGGATGACAGAGTCGAAAGCTTTGGTCAGGTCGATGAAGACGGCTGCGCAGTACTGTCTTTTATCGATCGCGGTTATAATATCGTTTAGGACCTTGAGCGTGGCTGAGGTGCACCCATGACCAGCTCGGAAACCGGATTGGCTTTCAAAAGGCAGGGCAGGATGGATATAGGTCTGTAACAGTTTGGATCTAGAGTGTCACCCCCTTTGAAGAGGGGGATGACCGCGGCAGCTTTCCAATCTCTCTGGGGATCTTAGACGTTACGAAAGAGAGGTTGAACAGGCTAGTAATAGGGGTTGTGACAATTTCGGCGGCTAATTTTAGAAAGAAAGGGTCCAGATTGTCTAGCCCAGGTGATTTGTAGGGGTCCAGATTTTTCAGCTCTTTCAGAACATCAGCTGTCTGGATTTGTGTAAAGTAGAAGCGGGGGGGCATGGGCAAGTTGCAGCGGAGGATGCAGAGCTGGTGCCGGGGTAGGGGTAGCAAGGTGGAAAGCATGGCCAGCCGTAGCAAAATGCTTGTTGAAATTCTCGATTATTGTAGATTTATCGGTGGTGACAGTGTTTCCAAGACTCAGTGCAGTGGGCAGTTGGGAGGAGGTGCTCTTATTCTCCATGGACTTTACAGTGTCCCAAAACTTTTTGGAGTTTCTGTTTGAAAAAGCTAGCCTTTGCTTTCCTAACTGATTGTGTATATTGGTTCCTGACTTCCCTGAAAAATTGCATATCGCGGGGGCTGTTCAATCAAGGTCCCAGAGTCTGGAGGAAGAGTGGAGAGGCACAGAATCCAATTTGCTTGAAGTCCAGTGTGAAGTTTCCACAGTCAGTGATGATTTGGGGAGCCATGTCATCTTCTGGTGTTGGTCCACTGTGTTTCATCAAGTCCAAAGTCAACTCAGCCGTCTACCAGGAAATGTTAAAGCACTTAATGCTTCCTTCTGCTGACAAGCTTTATAGAGATGCTGATTTCATTTTCCAGCAGGACTTGGCACCTGCCCACACTGCCATAGGTACCAATACCTGGTTCAATGACCATGGGATTACTGTGCTTGATTGGCCAGCAAACTCGCCTGATCTGAACCCCATAGAGAATTTATGGGGTATTGTCAAGAGGAAGATGAGAGACACGAGACCCAACAATGCAGACGAGCTGAAGGCCGCTATCGAAGCAACCTGGGCTTCCATAACACCTCAATAGTGCCACAGGCTGATCGACTCCATGCCACGCCACATAATAATAATATAATATGCCATTAAGCAGACGCTTTATCCAAAGCGACTTACAGTCATGTGTGCATACATTTTTACGTATGGGTGGTCCCGGGAATTGAACCCACTACCCTGGCTTTACAAGCGCCATGCTCTACCAATTGAGCTACAGAGGACCACATAGATGCAGTGATTCATGCAAAAGGAGCCCCAACCAAGTACTGACTGCATGTACAAGAACATACTTTTCAGAAGGCCGACATGTCTGTATTACATTTCATTTTTTCACTGGTGTTATGTCATATTCTAATTTTCTGAGATACTGAATTTGGGGTTTTCATGCGCTGTAAGCCGTAACCATCAAGATTAAAACAAATACAGGCTTGAACTATTTCACTTTTTGTGTAATTAATCCACGATATATATATATATATATATGAGTTTCACTTTGTCAAATGAATTATTGAAATTACTTAACTTTTCCACAATATTCTAATTTATTGAGCTGCACCTGTATTCTATAACAGACAATCACATCTGTTCTACATAATACTCTTCTAACTGTGCTGTCTGTAACCTTGCACCCTTCTGAACAAGGCTCCTGACAACAGCAGGAGAAGTAGTGTACTCCTTCTAGAAGTACAGTACAGTGTATTCTGTCCTGGCTGGGTGAGATGTGGTGTAACACTACACTAGAGGAGTGAGAATGTCGGGTGATGGAGGGAGGACTTAAGATGGTGATGTTTCTTGCCACTGCTGCCTCTCATCTGTCTGTTGATCCATACAAACCCTCTGCCTCCCCCACTCCCCCCCCCCCCCCGGCCCACCGTTCCAGCCTCTCACCTATCTGTCCATATGTAACTTACAACCCCTCATTCTGTCCCCCCCACCTCCTCTGTCCTCCCTTGACCCAGCGTCTCCCCCACTGCAGCCTTACCTCTTCCACCATCACCTCACGGCAAATGAAGAAAGAAAGCTTCCTTTCATTTGTTATCAATGATGTTCCTTAAATCTTCACCTCACCTTAAAGCTGGGTTCTTTATTTCTTTACTTTATTCGTTAGCTTGATAAAATGTATATTGGATTGTTTAAGACATTTAACCAGAGCGTTTCAATTTAGAATACTGAAAGAGAGAGAGACTCTTTTGTGTGAAAACAGTGAAAATGTATTTAATTGTAGAATTGATTTCATACTTTTTACATGGTATACAAGAAACGTCAGCTATACATAATATAGAGTCCAGTCAGAACAAGCACTGCCTCTCTCTCATTAAAACGCTTCTCCTGACGAATATCTCTCCTGAATGCGTAGAGGAATCTGATTCTCCTTTACATGTTTAATGTATAAAACAACCGTCACCAGAAGCAGACAGAGCGAGGCTGCCATCATGCCCAGGCCTAGCAGCACGATCAACTGAGCATGTCTGTCGCAGACGGGCGTCTCAGCTGGCGTTTCGGATGGCGTCTGTGCCAGTCTGTAGGGCAGGGATCTTGGCATGGTGTCCAGGTGGCATGGTTCCAAGGTGTCGTTGACCAGCAGGTTGACCCAGACAGTGGTGTGGAGGGGCGCTGGTTTCTCACCGTCACTCACCACGATGAACAGGTGGTGCATCCCCAGGTCCTTACCCATGAGCCTCTGGGCTAAGATCACGTTACCGGACTGAGCGTCCAGCTGGAAGGGACTGCTGCTGCTGTCACCATGGTGATGGGATGATGGAGAGGTGCCCGGTGGTTCCTGCGCTGCAATGGTGTATGTGATCTCCGAGTTTAACCCTGAGTCCTCGTCGATGGCGTAGATCTTGGTTACCATGGTGCCTGTGGTGGTCCCTGTGGAGATGGCGAGACACGACAAGTTGCTGCTGGGTAGGATGACCTGGGGCTGGTTGTCGTTGACATCCTCAATGAACACGGTTACCCTGGCGACAGAGGTCAGAGGTAACGGGCGTCCGTTGTCGGTGGCGAACAGATCTAACTCATAGCGGTCCTGTTTCTCGCGGTCGACATCGGCCATGCAGCGCAACATCCCCTGGGCGTTGTCTATGATGAAGGGGCCAACACTGCTGTTCACCACCCTCACCTCCACCTCCCCGTTAAGCCCCGAGTCCAAGTCCGACACCCCCACCTTCCCCACCTGGGCCAGGGGAGGTATATTCTCAGGGATGAAGAAGATGAAGTGAGGGGTGAGGAAGACAGGAGCGTTATCATTCTGGTCCAGGACGGTGATCGTTACCGTCACGGAGGACTCTAATGAAGGAGCGCCGTTATCTCTGGCCACAACAGTTAGTCTGTGAACGTCCTGTTGTTCCCTGTCCAGGGGTAGAGAAACCGTCAGCTGACCTGTGTTTCGGTCGATTCTAAAAATGGCTGCCGCTGCCGCCGTGTGTGATGGTCGGCCCAGTCTGTAGGTGACCTGCCCGTTCTGACTGCTGTCTGCATCCTGCGCCCTGACTTTCAGCAGAGACGCCCCAGCAGGGTTATTCTCCTCTATGTCTATCAGATAGGGACTCTGGAGAAACTGTGGAGCATTATCATTCACATCCACCACCCTCACCCGGATCACTCTCCTAGGGAAGCCCTGAGCTGCAGGCTCCCCGACACCACCACGCATCACTACAGAAACATGATATTCACTCTTCATCTCATAGTCTAAGGGCTTTGATGTTGACAGGAGATATTTGCCGTTCTGCAGGCTCAAAGAAAAAGGCACCTCTCCTTCAATGGAGAGAGACGATGAGCCTCTAACACTACTAGTGTCCCCCGGCAGCTCTAGCAAAGCCAAGACCGTGGGGGGCTGGTTTTCCTGTAACACTATCGTCTGGTTTTGATGCTCTGCTAGGAACCTGATCTTTATGCCATTCTCCTGGTGTGGAGCGGGGAGCAGGGATACGGTTACCTGAGTGTCTGCAGGGGGGCAGTGGGGGCCGCTGGCTAACACTTTCAACACCACCTCCTCTCCCCTGTCACTAACACTAACACTGTCACTGTGGCCGTCTCTGAGGTCTCCTCTCAGGCTGATCAGGCCAGTGTGACTGTCCAGACTGAAGAGTTCCCTGGCCCGTTCTGAGACCTTGGGACTGAGGGAGTAGGTGATAGCAGCGTTGGGGCCCAGGTCTAGGTCTGTGGCTCTGACCCTGGTTACTGCTGTGTCTCTGGGTGATTCCGCTGTAATAACCACCTTCTGGGGTCTGTCCAGGCTAAACTCTGGACAGTTATCGTTCACGTCAGTCACTTTTATGAATAAAGTTGCTGTGACGCTTAGTGGGGTAGAGCCACAGTCTGTGGCCACTAGAGTCATCTCATGAAGATCCTGCTTCTCGCGGTCTAGTCCTTGTCGCACAACCAAAAACAAAATGGCTGCTTCTTCTTCTACTGTCACACTGAAAAACCCACCGGCTCCCTCTAAGTGGTACTGCAGCTGTCCGTTACGTCCCATGTCTCTGTCCTCTGCCTGGTCGTCCAATAAAAAACTGGTCCCCACAGCCACATCCTCAGAGACACTCAGATGGATCTCAGTGTTGTCAAAGTGAGGAGTGTGGTCATTGATGTCCTCTACAACCACCATGAACTTCACCAGCTCTGCCTCAGGGCCCACGATGGCGTCGTGTGGGAGGATACACTCTCCAGCCTGGGGTTGGTCAGGACACAGGGCCTCTCGGTCCATCCTGCGATAGATAGATCATTACTTTGTTAATAGTCAAGAGGAAGTTTCTTTATCAGCAGCAGCTATACATTAAAAGCATACAGCAACAGTAAACATTGAAGTGCAAAAATCCATCCAGTTAGGTAAAGAAACAGTCAAAAGGCCTGTAGACTACCACATCATCTAGAATGAGTTTCAATAAATAACCACCTGTGGTCGGTCGTGTAGACATCCCCTGTCCCCTGGTCCACCCTGAGGTAGACCTGGGTCAGGAGCTGGTAGGGGGGGGGGAACGTGGACCCGATGGACCCGACCCGGACCCCAGCCTCCTGCTCCTCTGGAACCGAGATCTGAACGGAACCGTAGCACATGATCTGCCTGAGATGGACGATGACCAGCACATTCTAAAGGAGAACATAGAACATTAAGTGAAAACGTAGGACTTGGAAGACTAGAGGACATTGGTGTGTAGTAAAGCACTGATATGGACCATGACATGGCACGTTCTAAAGGAGAACCCGAATAGGGAACTTAAAACATTCTTGTGAGGAGGAAAAACATTCATATGAGGAAATTATAATCCTCGGAACTTCCCCCTGAAGTAGGCTAGGATGGAAACATCTTCCTTCCTTTTAATGATCTATTATTAACAGTGGCATTACTACCTCAGTGGCTACTGTAAAAGTAGGGACTGTGTCACGTTTTAGGGAATAGGGTGGTATTGGGGACGCATCCTGTGTGTGCAGCAGTACTGCAATATAATCTGATATATCTCACCCCCTTATTCACTTACTAGTCAAACCTACTGGACCCTAACTAATGATAAAACATGCTTGTGGAATTATAATAAAGCATTTAACAAAACATATGCACATAATTTATGACAATTTACATATTTGCATGATGATGTTCCATATTAATAGTGAATAATAGCTATCATCAAGCATTATTCTTAAAACATCCAAGAAGCGTACAGAGGGTTTTCTTTTTCGTGTGCTCCCAGTCACAACAATAACCCATGACCTATGACCTATTATCCATTCACTAGCTCCCTGTCATATGAGAGCTACCAAAACAAGGACCAAGTAATGATCAACAATACTACTATGCTGCGACTAATATTGGTGAACTAATATTTATTAGGTTTTTAGAGTAATTAGCATGACAGATATATTGCCCTACAGTGGTTCATTAAGTGATAAGATGACTGACTAATGGTTGACTGACCTGAAGGAGTCCAGCCCAGTTCATGTTATCATCCGTCCCATTGGCCCGTAGCCTCCACACATGACACCTATCTGGGTTACCTCTGCCTCCACCTCTGCTAAGAGTAGGGAGGAAGACTGGGGCTGGAGGCAGCTATACCTGCTGCCTACCTGGGGACTGTTAGCACCCTCTCCACTCCTCCTCTCCCGCCCCTCCCACCTGTCACTCTGCCAGACTGGTGTAGGGAGGTGAGCGGTTGTAGACTGGGGACTAATTGGGACGGGTTTTTAGATGGCTGTAGCGGGTTGTAGAGGGCTGAGCAGGGTTTGTACTGGCATGGAGGCGGTGTAGATGGGGCTGACTGGTTGTAGACTTGACGGTGTAATGGGCTGGCCAGGTTTGTAACTGGGCCTGGAGGCCCGTTGTATACTGGGACTGATGCGGGTTTAACTGGGCTGGAGCGGGGTTGTAGAGGGCTGGAGGTGGGTTTAGACTGGGGCTGGAGGCGGGGTTAGACTGGCTGAGCGGTTACTGGGGCTGTAGCGGTTAACCTGGCTCGCGAGCGGGTTTAGACTGGGCTGGAGCGGTTGTAGACTGGGTGAGGGGGTGTAGACTGGGGCTGGAGGCGGGGTTGTAGACTGGGGCTGGAGGCGGGGTTGTATACTGGGGCTGGAGGCGGGGTTGTAGACTGGGGCTGGAGGCGGGGTTGTAGACTGGGGCTGGAGGCGGGGTTGTAGACTGGGGCTGGAGGCGGGGTTGTAGACTGGGGCTGGAGGCGGGGTTGTATACCTGCTGCCTACCTGGGGACTGCTGTGCTAACACACACACACACCTTGTGCCCCTCCCACTACAGGTAACTTAATAAGCTGATTGGACAGTGTGCAGCAGCAAATCAGAACGACTGGTTACTCAGCATTCTTTACCTTCTTGCTGTAATGTTTATCTCTGGTTTAGTGGTTTGAGGCATTTACTAATTGAAAGTAAATGTAAAAGGATTATCTAAATGGTTCTGGTGAAAGGAACAACCGAATATAAGATATTAGATATGACATACAAAAGGTTCTTATCTGTAACCATATGAACATACTTAATGTTATACATGATGAGAAAGAAGTCAGTTTGGGGACAGTTATTCCACCACAAAGTTCCAATTCCACCTGTGTCAACTGTGGCCACAAATGGCAAGGGATCGCTGTGGTCTCAGAGTGCTTCCCCAATTCTAATATTGCCTAACTAAATATAGAAATATGACTGTAAACCGTCTTTAATCTCCCCAGAGGTGTAGGCATACCACCAGTAAGTCAGTCAGTAGGACAGCGGTCTACTTTGTTAGCGACATTAATTGTAATGTTTCATTCTCACTTCTTGAGTGACCCCTGTTGGTTGGTTGGAGTAGTTTCAGGTGACTTCACAATAACGGGCCTTCTACAGTGAATATACTTCCGGGTTAATTTCCAAAAAGCATAATAAGAAGTAACTTTATGATTAGGCCTTTAAGGTGGGCTAATGTTAGTAAAGACGCTTTTCCTGGGAAAACAGTAATATAATAGACAGATTGGCTGTTTATAATAGATAGACAACCATAGGCCTACAATGTATTACATAAAGGTTGAAATCATAAAAGATTTTAGCAAAATCTCATCGTTACTGTTCTTCAATTTCCTTTAGAGAGGATTTCTGTGACCTATTGAAAACCCCTCAGAAAAATATGGCCCAGAGTTGCATAAGCCTCTATCTTTGGGTTTCTGAGACTCTTCCGTTCATTCGTTTACCTATAGGGGAAAAGGTTTTTCCTCGCCCTTTACTGTTACTTTCGAGACTCCCACGCACTACGGTAACCACAGAAGCCGCAGTGGCCTGATTGGATGCTGCAGAGCGCGTCTTTTCCGGTTGTGAGTAAAGTCTAAGGAGGCTTTATAAACAGAAGACCCCAACTGTCAACTTGAAACTTCACTTCTTGCACAGTTGCTGTATTATATTAGTAATCGACGCACTATTCCCGCTTTTCAGAATGTCTACAGAAAACTTCAGAATGCCCACAGATAACTTTTCAGGTGAGTCTTGAGCATTGGCTTGATATTTACATTTTTATCATTAGACTATTGATTATTGCAGCGTTTGTTCTTGTATTTTATTCCTGCTGTTGTAGATTTTTAATGTGGATTGATTTCAAATAGCCTGATTTTGTTTGGTATAAATTATTTAGTTTTTAATGACACATGAATCACTTTAGGCCTATTATTAATAGGCTAATTAAAATACATTTGTAAAGTAATTATATTCCATCATGAATTGAATGATTCCCACTCTAACTAAAATAATTTTCGAAATCCCCGATCAGACTTGGAGCTGGAGCTAACTGGTCTGCTCCAGGAGTTCGCTGACGTGGTTGAGGAGTTGAGAGAGCCTTCCCAAAGCGTCCCGTCCGCATACGAGCGGCTCTTGTCTGATGCCAAACGGCGCACCCGGCTAGGGGATGACGGCTCAGTGGTCAGCGACAGCGGCGTGGAGGACAATAGTGACTGCAGTGAGTAGCCTTTAGGTCTAAACCTTTATGGTCGTTGTTGTGTGTTCCATACATACGTGGAGGAGGGCGCGTGGGGTTTGTGCGTAAACGGTGAGTCAGATGGAGAATAGGGGAAAATACGCTTGTGGGTAGCTGCGGTTTGAGCCCCTTTCATCAACCAACACTTGACATTTTTTACTGGCGACAACATCGGCTCATGAACATGCATCAACTTTTTTTAAATAGAGAGTAACACAAAATAACACTGTTTCAAGTAATGCACGTTTGTTCCATTACATCGAATGGATGTGCATGACTGTCTGTGGATGAAGGATTGCATTATTTTATTTTGCACATCATTCAATCTGAAAGTAAAATTCAACTTTAGCTGTCAGAATGGTCCACTGTAGCTCAGTTGGTAGAGCATGGACGTTGCAATTCCAGGGTTGTGGGTTTGATCCCATATGTAAAATGTATGCAGTATGACTATATAAATTGCTTTGGATTAAGTGTCTACTAAATGGCATATATTTAAGCAATAAAGCCTGAGGTGGTGTGGTATATGGCCAATATACCACAGCTAAGGGCTGTTCTTATGCATGACGCAACGTGGAGTGCCTGGACACAGCCCTTAGCCGTGGTATATTGGCCATATACCACAAACCCCCAAGGTGCCTTATTGTTATTATAAACTGGTCACCAACGTAATTAGAGCAGTAAAAATAAGACCGTATACCCGTGGTATACGGTCTGATATACCACAGCTTTCAGCCAATCAGCATTCAGGGCTCGAACCACCCAGTTTATAATATATATTAGTTGTGCCACGTGTGGATGTGTTCTTGTGGTCTAACCTTCTCTCTCTCTCTCAATTCAATTCAATATGTTAACATTGCCAAAGCAAGTGAAGTAGATAATAAACAAAAGTGAAATAAACAATAAAAATTAACAGTAAACATTTCTCTCTCCTTCTCTCTCACCCTCACCCTCACCCTCATCTCTCCCTCCCGCCAGGCAGTGAGGCGTCTCTGGGTAACAGTTTGAACACCAGTGAAGAAGAGCTCCACACTGCAGGCATAACAGTTACGCCCAAAGGTAAGGAGACCTATACCACTACATCAGTTGACCATCTAAACTAGCCCTGAGCTATCTGACCAGCTAGAGTTGTAGTAGGAGATCACTATCAGTCCATACACAGATCACTATCACTTTTACACAGATAATTAGAGCATTACAATAGATCACTATTGAGTTGAGTTTACACAACAAAGCTTGGCTGTTGTGCTTCTACAGCCTTCTACAGCTATCTGGCCTTATCTGGGCAGGGTGGCCTAGGGTTGGTATAATGGCTAAATAAGGTACCCCTGGAGAGAGGGGGTCGGGGGAGGTAGACATACATAAGCTAAACGTAACACTAGAAGATCCATGTCGTTCAGTCTGAGGTGTGCTGCAGGCGCCTCACTGGCTCAGTGGAGTTTTATATTATGGGCTGTTTAAGTCTGTGAATCTTATTTTCCATCTTGGTTAAACCAGGGGTTGTGTCCTGACTCCTTCAGTGTGCTCCAAATGGTACCCTATTTCCTATATAGTCCACTACATTTAACCAGGGCCCTTAGGGCTCTAGGGAATAGGGTGCCATTTGGGATGCAGGTTCTTCTTATATAATTCTGGGAGTTGGATCACATTTCCTGCTCTGGTCCAAAGGAGGAAATGCCAGTGAACTTAGAGCAGCAACTGCTGCATCTCCACAGAAATGTTCCATTCCACCACTCTCTATTTCTCCTTTCTCACATGCTCTCCTTTTACTCTGCAGCCAGGATGGGAGACACAGGAGACCTACAGAGATTCATCGACAGTTTGGACCGGGAACTTGCTGGTATGCATCTCAGAACAAAACCAAAATTCCCCACATCCTGACAATGTCATTATATCACTTTAGTCTGGTGTTTCAATCTCTTTATATCACTTTAGTCTCGTGTTTCAATCTCTTTATTTACATTTTAGTCATTTAGCAGACGCTCTTATCCAGAGCGACTTAGTTAGTGAGTGCATACATTTTTTTTTTTCATACTTAGTCTAGTGTTTCATTCTCTTTATCGCTTTAGTCTAGTGTTTCAATCTATCACTTTAGTGAATCCCAGAGCTCCTCTAGTGTCTGCACTAGAGGGTTGAAGGTGGGCTATCTACATGCCCTCCAGTGATAATAGTCTATAGTACATGACTATCACTGTGACCACTACCAGTAGAGAGGCAGTGCTGTTTCAGAGAACACACAGAGATGTAGATACGCTGACACACACAACCACACACACACGGACATGCACACACATACACAAACACGCAAACACACACACACGGACATGCACACACAAACACGCAAACACACACACACACACACACAGACATGCATGCAGACTCACACACACACATACACACCGTGCTACCAGTGGGTCAGAGACAGAGAAGTGCTGTTCCTCATGAATCATAACTGCTCTCGGCATCAGTACCAGGCTGCTGCATGCTAATGACTGTGTGTGTGTGTGTGTGTGTCTGTCTGACAGAGATGTGAGTGGAGAGAGAGCGAGACGGAGAGCGATGGAGAGAGACCGGAGAGGGAGAGAGAGCTGCTGAGACCACGGGGGAGAGAGAAGAGAGAACAGGCCAGAGGCTGCATGTCTGGCTACCTCTGAACACACAAACACACAGATCTAAAATTGCACAGTTCTGTTCTGTTCGGAGAAAGCCAGCTCACTCTGGGCCCCTCTGGGGGGGGGGGGGGGAAAAGGGTCAAACATGAGGAATTAAAAGGGCATCATGTTCCAATATCTAGAACACTACTGGACCTGAGGTGATAGACTCCATCCCTTCCCTCACAGCTAAATGAAGCTGTTTTATAGTCAACGTGTATCTCTTCAATAGGAGAACACGAACGTGTGTGAAATGGCATCCTATGTAGTGGACTACTTTTCCCACTATATATCTTGTGATTAGCAAGTGTTGTACATTTGGGTTTATGCCAACCTGCTGTTTCCTGATGGAAGGCCTTATAATAATGAAACCCACTGTCCTCATCACAACCCAATGTGTTGGACAGTAATTGTTAAAATGCTAAGTTTTATATTGTAAAGTTTAAAGTGATGTACAGTATTATATTGCCTATACTACAAACAGACCACTGCCTAACCTGATGATGATGATGATGATTTTTGTACAGAGGAATGCACAGATGAATAAAGATAGTTATTTGAAAGGTGGCTGTCTTTTTGAGTTATTTAAAAGCAAATGAATAGTCTAAAAGAGCAAGTGGGTGGAAAATGTACAGTAAGTGAAAACATATAATTTCACATGATATCATTAATGACTCTATTAGATGTATATAGAACTTTTCCAACTTCTCAAAGCGCTTTAAATTGTTTGGTGGGGGGGGGTCTTACTGCCAGGGTCACACCTACAACTGCTTGAACCCTCCCTTCACCGTACTCTGTCTGCCTGTGCCTGTCTCCACTTCCTGTATACAACTGCTTGAACCCTCCCTTCACCGTACTCTGTCTGCCTGTGCCTGTCTCCACTTCCTGTATGACTCCTCCGATTGGTTGGCAGAAGTGAAACTCCAAACACAATCAGGAAACACACAAATCTATCCCTGGCACTGCTCAGACACCGTTAAAGGTGGGAAGTGCGTCAGTAGAGTTGATGGCATAACAATAGTGATTTAGTCTATGTTTGTCATTGTTGTCAGAGGGTCAGGGGGTCAGAGGGTCAGAGGGTCAGGGATGAGACTATAACGTATTGCTGCTCTCTCTAAGAGGTGACTGCTGAGAAGCTGAAGGAAAAAGATGTTGTTTTGCTTCTCCAGAGTTGGTCATTTGAAGTCTAGAATAATATTCTATTTGTCTCTAACGACACCCTATTTCCCATGTAATGCACTACGTTTGGCCGGGTTATTATATGCATCTCAACTGACACCCTAATGACACCCAAATTGCTCAAATGGGTCTCAAATGAGTTTTTACCTTATGTAGTGAGATTTGTACATATCCACAGACACTAACGAGATGTGCTTTAGTGCTTACATTGTTACTAACTGGTGGATCTTGTAGTTACAGACGTGATGTGTAGCATACCATGCCATCGTTAACATGTGACTGTCACTAAAGCTGTGGGCTGAATCAGTTATTTTTAACTATGTGACAAACAACAACAACAACAACAATTGTACATTCTGTGAAAATAATGGATGACTAGGTAGTTGGATACATTAGTTGTACGACTCAGTAGTAGGATACATTAGCTGTATGACTCGGTAGTAGGATACATTAGCTGATGACTGTAGTAGGCTACATTAGCTGTATGTCTCGGTAGTAGGCTACATTAGCTGTATGTCTCGGTAGTAGGATACATTAGCTGATGACTAGGTAGTAGGATACATTAGCTGATGACTGTAGTAGGCTACATTAGCTGTATGACTCGGTAGTAGGATACATTAGCTGATGACTAGGTAGTAGGATACATTAGCTGATGACTGTAGTAGGCTACATTAGCTGTATGACTCGGTAGTAGGATACATTAGCTGTATGACTCGGTAGTAGGATACATTAGCTGATGACTAGGTAGTAGGATACATTAGCTGTATGTCTCGGTAGTAGGATACATTAGCTGATGACTAGGTAGTAGGATACATTAGCTGATGACTGTAGTAGGCTACATTAGCTGTATGACTCGGTAGTAGGATACATTAGCTGTATGACTCGGTAGTAGGCTACATTAGCTGTATGTCTCGGTAGTAGGCTACATTAGCTGTATGACTAGGTAGTAGGCTACATTAGCTGTATGACTCGGTAGTAGGCTACATTAGCTGTATGACTAGGTAGTAGGCTACATTAGCTGTATGACTAGGTAGTAGGCTACATTAGCTGTATGTCTCGGTAGTAGGCTACATTAGCTGTATGTCTCTGTAGTAGGCTACATTAGCTGTATGACTCTGTAGTAGGCTACATTAGCTGTATGTCTCGGTAGTAGGATACATTAGCTGTATGTCTCGGTAGTAGGCTACATTAGCTGATGACTAGGTAGTAGGCTACATTAGCTGTATGTCTCTGTAGTAGGCTACATTAGCTGTATGACTCTGTAGTAGGCTACATTAGCTGTATGACTCTGTAGTAGGCTACATTAGCTGTATGTCTCGGTAGTAGGCTACATTAGCTGTATGTCTCGGTAGTAGGCTACATTAGCTGATGACTAGGTAGTAGGCTACATTAGCTGTATGTCTCTGTAGTAGGCTACATTAGCTGTATGACTAGGTAGTAGGATACATTAGCTGATGACTAGGTAGTAGGCTACATTAGCTGTATGACTAGGTAGTAGGCTACATTAGCTGTATGTCTCGGTAGTAGGATACATTAGCTGTATGACTAGGTAGTAGGATACATTAGCTGTATGTCTCGGTAGTAGGCTACATTAGCTGTATGACTGTAGTAGGCTACATTAGCTGTATGACTAGGTAGTAGGCTACATTAGCTGTATGACTAGGTAGTAGGCTACATTAGCTGTAGACTCTGTAGTAGGCTACATTAGCTGTAGACTCTGTAGTAGGCTACATTAGCTGATGACTAGGTAGTAGGCTACATTAGCTGTATGTCTCTGTAGTAGGCTACATTAGCTGTATGTCTCTGTAGTAGGCTACATTAGCTGTATGACTCTGTAGTAGGCTACATTAGCTGTATGTCTCGGTAGTAGGCTACATTAGCTGTATGTCTCGGTAGTAGGCTACATTAGCTGATGACTAGGTAGTAGGCTACATTAGCTGTATGTCTCTGTAGTAGGCTACATTAGCTGTATGACTAGGTAGTAGGATACATTAGCTGATGACTAGGTAGTAGGCTACATTAGCTGTATGACTAGGTAGTAGGCTACATTAGCTGTATGTCTCGGTAGTAGGATACATTAGCTGTATGACTAGGTAGTAGGATACATTAGCTGTATGTCTCGGTAGTAGGCTACATTAGCTGTATGACTGTAGTAGGCTACATTAGCTGTATGACTAGGTAGTAGGCTACATTAGCTGTATGACTCTGTAGTAGGCTACATTAGCTGTAGACTCTGTAGTAGGCTACATTAGCTGTATGACTCTGTAGTAGGCTACATTAGCTGTAGACTCTGTAGTAGGCTTCATTAGCTGTAGACTCTGTAGTAGGCTACATTAGCTGTATGACTCGGTAGTAGGCTACATTAGCTGTATGACTCTGTAGTAGGCTACATTAGCTGTAGACTCTGTAGTAGGCTACATTAGCTGTATGTCTCGGTAGTAGGCTACATTAGCTGTATGACTCTGTAGTAGGCTACATTAGCTGTAGACTCTGTAGTAGGCTACATTAGCTGTAGACTCTGTAGTAGGCTACATTACATTTACATTTACATTTTAGTCATTTAGCAGACGCTCTTATGCAGTGAGTGCATACTTTTATTTATTTTTCATACTGGCCTCCCGTGGGAATCGAACCCACAACCCTGGCGTTGCAAACGCCATGCTCTACCAACTGAGCTACATCCCTGCCGGCCATTCCCTCCCCTACCCTGGACGACGCTGGGCCAATTGTGCGCCACCCAATGGGTCTCCCGGTCGCGGCCGGCTACGACAGAGCCTGGATTCGAACCAGGATCTCCAGTGGCACATTAGCTGTATGACGTGGTAATAAGCTACATTAGCTGTATGTTAGAATAGATTAGATCCACCGAATGTACAGAGCGTGGAGGACTTGTTTATTGTGCTTATACCACGGTTGCCAAAGAAAACAATGTTAGCATGGAATTACATTTTATAAAACAACATTCACAATATATGTTCTTTGACACGACTGAGCCTACGGTACGGGTACATACTGAACTGTTTGATCACCTTCCTTTAGTTTTTCCATTGCATCATGGGTTATGTCCACAGTAAGAAGGTTCCCCCTAAAGGAAGGGACGGCAGGACATTCTAAACATTATGTTCTCTGTGTGTTTATGTTTCAATTAAGACACTTTGTCCTGGGAGAGACTTCTCTTCTGAACCCTTGCCAACACTACTCCACCTGACCACAACAAGTCTTGGCACTTGAGAGAGTAGTGTGTGTGTGTGTGTGTGTGTGTGTGGGGTGTGTGTGTGTGTGTGTGTGTGTGTGGGGGGAGAATACAGAGAGAAACACCTAAACAATAGTCACCAACAGAGGAACGTGTCCCTGTCCCAGAGCTGCCTGTCTGCTCCAGCAAGATAAAGGAGATGTGCTGACTGATTGAGGCCACAGCTGTGCAGGGAGAACAATCCTGGGTTACGTCCAAAATGACTGGGGCACACAGGGCTCTGGTCAAAAGTAGTGCACTATGTAGGGAATAGGGTACCATTTTGGACATTGCCCAGGGAGAATAGAACACAAAATTTGGCCTGGCGTCAACACTGTGGATTGTCTGGAACTTCCCCTTGAAGTTTGGGTTTTAGGACTGATGAGGCAGTTTCCTGTACAGGGAGGGGGTTGTGGGGGTTGTGGGGGTTGTGGGGGTTGTGGGGGCGAGAGCCGTCTAAAAAGAAAGAGCCACAATGATGAGGGAAACAATACAGTAAGTGGTCAAGTTCAGATTGAAACTGAAAGCGCCGTGGCTTGGCACTTCTCACTTCACTATTCCAGAATTGTGTCAGGAATTACTTCAGCATTCTAAAAAAATGGTCACTAGTGATTCTCAATGGGGATTCCCCACTGAGTGACAATATATTTCTCAAAGAGCATATGAGGTCAAATGCACATCAACTTTTCATTAGTGAGCTGGGCCAGATAAAACAAACAAAAAAAACTGGCTAGTAAAACAGGCTAATAAAAAGGGTCTGCACAATCAAATGCTCCAATACATACCTTTATTGGTTTTATGTATAAAGTAGCTGTTTTGGG